AATGCTACTGCCACAAAAACGACTCACTCCAGGTTGAGCCGCACAGGTGCCGTGGTCGATACAGATTCGGACCTGGAGAGCGTGCTCTCTGTAACCAAGACGGAGGAAGACAGCCTTCTCCGCTCCCCGGAACCAGGTTCCAGCTCCCCGCGTAGGGAAGGGCCGAAGCGTTCCAAGGAGGGGTTGAAGGCGAAGGCGCATTACAAAGCGGCCCTCAAGATCGCGGGACGGCTCCAGGGCAGGAAGGACCTCTCTGAGGATGAGAAGGCCAAAATGACCTGGGCCGAAGAACGGATAAAGGAGGGCCGGCTGCACTTCTCGCAGATGCCGCAGATGAAGGCATCGACGGAGGGATTTGCCAACAAGGTGGAGGAGAGTCTCGCCACCAAAAGGCAACGCTCGACCGAGAGTGCCAAGAACGACACTCCGGTGAGCAAGCGGCAACGCGGGCCCAAGGTGGCAGCCCCCACACCCAAACAGGCGAAACGTCCCCAAAAGGCGAAGGTCAGTGAGGTGACCAAACGACATTTAATCGTGGCACTCATTGACCGGAGCGAAGAGAATGGCAAAATAACGGCGGCGCGGTGGAAGATGGTGCACGCGCGGCTCGTGGATGCGCTGTTCGCCAGAATGGAGGAGGACCCAACGGCCCCCATGCCCACGTTCGATGGTGCAGGGTGGCTCAACGGGGTGAAAATACTTAAATGTATGGACGACCCCACACTCAAGTGGCTGACGCAAACGGTCTGCCAACTGGAAGCGTTGTGGGAGGGGGCCAAGCTGGAGGTGGTGGACAGGGAGCTAATCCCGTCCATACCAAAGGCAAAGGTACTCTTCCCCATCGTAATCCAAGGGGACCGTGCGCTGAAGCTGCTACAGAGGCAGAACCCCGACGTGCCAACGGCTAACTGGAAGATTCTGCACATCGGGAGCCCACTACCCAACGAGGGGGGCCAGAGTGCGATCATCCAGATCAGCAAGGAGGCAGAGGACCTGCTATACCCAAGATTCGGGAAGATGGCGTGGGGGATGGGCAGTGTTTACCTGCGGTTGAGAAAGCGCCACCCCGAGGACAAAGATGCGCACACTCTGCAGGCGGGCGAGGTGGAGAAAGACCTTGGTCTGGACACCATCGTGGAGGCCGCACAGGGTCTTGCGCTGGACTCGGAGGAAGAGGGGAGGACGGTGACCTGACGGTAGTAGTCAACCCGTCGAGTGGAGCTGAGCCGGACGCACATGGTGAGTGTGCTGCAGCTCAACCTCCACAAAAGTAAAATTGCGTCGGCGGAGCTCCTCTTTGCCATGGAGCAAGGGCCCGCCGACATAGCCTTAGTCCAGGAGCCATGGGTTGCCTCAGGCAATGCTATGGCCGGGCTAAAGTCCTCAAATTTTAACGTATTCTATACACCATCGGTAAGCAGGAACAGAACCGCCGTACTCGTACGGAAGGGAATCCATGCTCACCTTATGTCTCATTACAGCACTGACGATCTAACCGTGGTGATGCTAGAAAGCAAGGAAAGGCGCCTGATGGTAGCCTCCTGCTACATGGCACACGACAGGCCGGCTCCACCTGAAGAGTTGATGCACCTAGTGGCGGAATCCAGCCCGAAGGACCAGCAACTTCTCGTCGGCACGGACGCAAACGCACATCACAACGTGTGGGGAAGCCCAGACATCAACGATAGAGGTGAGTCCCTCCTAGACTTCATACTATCAACTAACCTAGAAGTAGCAAACGTAGGAGAGGAATACACCTTTGTAGGTCCCACCTCTTCAAACGTGCTAGACTTAACACTCGTAGCGGGAACAAGTACGGTGGTATCTGGCTGGAGAGTCCTTGAAAGACCATCCTTCTCAGACCACAGGTACATCCAGTTTAAGTGCGAATTTGAACACTCTCCGAAGATAACTGTCTATAGAAACCCCCTGAACACAAACTGGGAAAAGTTTAAAAAGACAGTTACCTCGAAGCTCGCGAATCGTCCGGGCACAGTGAAATCCCCGGAAGACATAGAAACGTCCCTAGAGACCCTATCCAGGGAACTACTGGATGCGTACCACGCATCGTGCCCACCCTCGAGAACGAAAAAGAGGACCAAACCACTCTGGTGGAACCGGGACCTATCGCTCCAAAGAAACAAACTCAAAGAATTCTTCAAAATCGCCAAACAGGCGAACGAGGATATGATCAATGAGGAATACAAAACCCTACTCAGGGAGTACAAGAAGGAAATACGCAGGGCACAAAGAAACTCGTGGAGGAACTTCTGCTCCAATATCGAGAAAGTCCCAGAAACAGCTAGACTTCGGAAGCTGCTATCAAAGCAACCCACCATACAGAGTCAGCTGAAACGAGAAGATGGACAGTGGACTGAGGGCAGTGAAGAAGCCCTAACAGCACTAATGGAAGCTCACTTCCCAGGATGCACCGAGGTTGCTGACGCCACAACGCATCAGGACCTAGCAACTGAGGAAGAGCATCCACCAACAGGTCTCATATCGTCTAAGAAAATCCACTGGGCTATAGACTCCTTTGCGGGTACAAAAGCACCTGGACTAGACGGTATATTCCCAGCCATGCTACAGGTGACCAAAGACGTGATCACCCCATGGCTCTCTGCAATATACTCAGCTTGCCTGAGCACGGGCTATATCCCTATTCAATGGAGGACCTCGAGGATTGTCTTCCTTCCAAAGGCAGGAAAGTGCAGCCATATGAGCCCCACCGATAAGCCTCACCTCCTTTCTACTCAAAACACTAGAAAAGCTGCTGGATCTACACATCAGGAATGATGTAGGGAGACTGATGTCAACCAACCAGCATGCCTACACCAAAGGGAAATCGGTAGAGACGGCACTGCACTCGCTAGTAGCCACCATCGAGAGAGCCCTCCATAATAAAAAGTATGCTCTAGGAGTGTTCGTAGACATATCCGGAGCATTCAACAACGTCACTACGAGCGCTATCATGGACCGCCTAGAAGCGACCAATACACATCCCGCAATCAACCTCTGGATAAAGAACCTTCTAAGTTGCAGACGGGTGCAATCAGAGTGGGGCACCGCTTCCATGGTGAGGGGGGCGCATAGAGGCACACCACAAGGTGGGGTCCTGTCGCCCCTCCTGTGGAACCTGGTGGTCGACGACTTAATAAAGAGATTCGAGAGGAGAGCCCCAAAAATAACAGCCTATGCAGATGACATAAGCATAATTATTACGGGAGTATGTCCATCGACCCTCAGCTCCATAATGGAATCAACACTCAGGGAGATATGTGAGTGGGCAGGAAAAGTAGGACTCAGTATCAACGCGGACAAGACGGACCTCATTCTCTTCACCAAGAGATACAAGGTACCGGCATGGATCCCCCCGAAAATTGAAAAAACCAGTCTGACCCCTAAAACACAAGTCAAATACCTCGGCATAGTACTGGACAGCAAGCTGGCGTGGAGACCCAATGTAGTGGAGAGGGTGAAGAAGGCCACCATTGCGCTATACGCATCCAAGAAGATGCTCAGCAGCACATGGGGCCTGTCACCTGCTTTAATGCACTGGATCTTCATATCGGTGGTGCGACCGACTCTGCTGTACGGAGTCTTAGTGTGGTGGCAAGCGACAGAAAAGAAGACGTACAATAAGCTTATGGAAAGGACCCAGCGGCAGGCACTGCTCTGCATTACGGGGGCGCTGAGGTCAACCCCAACAAAAGCTCTCGAAACCATAATCGGAATCGACCCCCTGGACATCCACGCTCAACTGATTGCAGCAAAGGCGGCACAACGCTTAGTAGCATCAGGAAACATGTCTCTACAGGGATTCGGGCACAGTTCAATTGGCCGAGACATGACCAGTATATCTGACTACATTATCCCCCAAACTTGCCTGGACGTAAACACAACCTCATTTATGGGACCCGACGACTGGAAAAGGGGTCGGGACCAGACCCAACACATCAACATATACACGGATGGCTCCAAGATGGAGGAAGGAGTAGGTGCGGGCATATATTGTACAGACCCTGAAATAAGGCTGTCCTATAAGCTACCGGACCAATGCAGCATATTCCAGGCAGAAGTCTTTGCCATACGGAAAGCAGCGGAGGTTGCTCGATGTACGGAACGCCCACATAATGTGATCAACCTGTTCGTGGACAGCCAGGCGGCGATAAGATCCATGCAGTCGTCAGCGGTCAGTTCCAAAAATGTCCTGGCAAGCAGGGAGGCATTAGATTTCCTAAGCACGACTAAGTCAGTGCGGATCTATTGGGTTCCCAGCCACCAGGGCATCGAAGGTAACGAGACAGCAGACGTACTGGCTAAGGAAGGCGTCGGGCTGGCAAACGAGAGGACTGAGAACGTGCCTGTCTCCCTCAGAGCGCTCCAAAGCGATCTAGAAAGGAGGGCACACGTACAGGCCAGCAGCAGGTGGAGGAGAACCACCAACTGCAAGATCGCGAAAACCATGTGCAAGGAGAGCAATGGTAAACTCAGCCAATACCTACTACACCTACCACGGAAGGACTGTAGGATGCTAATTGGTATACTCACAGGTCATTGCCTGGCTGCAGCACATGCAGTCAAACTAGGCATCACCAACAGTGACAAGTGCAGGAAATGTGATGAACCTGGGGCTATCGAAACCCTGGAACATCTAATCTGCCAATGCCCGGCCCTCTCAAGGGCAAGAAACATACATCTTGGCAGCCCGGTACTGGCATCGCTGGAAGATGCATCCAAGAGGACGCCAGCGAAACTCCTTGCCTTTGCAAAACTCTCCTCGATCCTCACGGATTTCAAAACCGCGTAAAAACACTCAGAAGGTCCATACGCACCAATCCGGACAACTAAGGGCCATATTGGCCTATGCGTGGCCCCGTGAGGGCCGTCCGGGACAACCTAACCTAACCTAACCTAAAGTATGTCTGAGGAAGGAAAAGGTAAAAATATGCATATAATATTTAAAACAAATAGTTTTAATCAATTCTGACATTAGATAGGAGATTTTTGTGGACACCTGCGGCCTTATTGACTCTGCTCGACCAATGGGAGGAAAACATAGATGGTTTCCGGGGAGTTCGCAAGAACTCTCATATTTATAAGGAAATAGCGGATGCCTTAAAAGAGTTTGGACCTTCTCATGTTGAGGTGAAAAACAAAATAGAAAATTTGACGAGGAAATACAGGTAAGTTACATGCCTACCATTATTTGCATACATTGTTTCTTGTTTATTTGCTAACCCAATATTTTAGAAGTGAACTGTCCAAGGTGGGACCTTCGGGTGGCAGCCCATCAACATGGGAGCACTTTGAAAGGGTCTGCTTAATCCTGCAAACGTCGAAATCAATTGTTGTTAGCGGAGTTGAGAGCACAGGTAATATATTTAATACAAATTATTTAAATTAATTACACTATTCATGCATTCTTTGCAGACTTCTCATGTGTAACCGAGGATGTTACTAGTGATTTCTATGCTGACCAGAGCAACACCTCAGCGACCAAAAATTCAGGTGGAGATACCTCTGGTTCCCAACCAAAAAGTCGTCGAGTCGACACAATGGTCGAAAAACTACTGGAAGTAGAGGAGAGAAAGCTCGAGGTGATGCAGACAGTTGTTCAAATCTCGTCGAATTTTTGAGCTGTTTGAAAAACGGCAATAACGGCAGTATTTTAATAAAACAAAATATATTTAGTTAAATGGTTAAAATTGTTTATTTATAAAGGGTTGTTTCTAAGAAGTGGTGTGAAAGAGCGCTCCTTATAGCTTCAGCCCGTATGTTCGAGTTTCCCAGTCAAACTTCATGCTGAGGTTGTTCTTGGACTTGAATGGTTTCTGCATCTTGCTGCCATCTGTCAGAGACTTCGCAATTATGGGTGGAGCAGAAATTGTGAAGAATGCAGCAGCAGATAATTATCTTTGTAGTGTTTTTGATGTCGTTGTCTAGTCCCTTTCCTATCCTCCGATACAGAGCCTTGAGGTGGCCGAAAGCATTTTCCACTACACGTCTAACCTTTGACAAGTTGTAATTAAATGCCTTATGTTCCGGAGTAGACTCAACGGAAAACGGATAGGGTTTCATTACTGTTTTGGAAAATCGAAATGCAGAATCACCTAAGATTAACGCAGGTATTTCTGTATCATTTATAATTTTCGAATTCCCATCGAGTAAATCCGACTCATCCAGTTTTATTTTCCGTAATGTTCTCCTGGGTAAGAAATTCTACTGGCATATATTCATCAGCAAGTACAGCAGTCACCTCCCGACAAAATTCCATCAAAATACGGCACACGATGGCTTTGGACACACCGAAAAGATTCGCTATCGTGCGATACTCCGCAGAGGATCTCAGGCAATATAGTGATATCGCTATCCTTTTCTCCAGAGGGATTGCCAGTCGAAAATTGGAGTCTTTCTTTCGGAGATTGGGCAGAATTCCAACCAGAATATTGAAAGCACTTCTTTCCATACGAAAGTTGTCTTTGAAAAACGCATCGGAGTTTTGCACAACATCTTTCTCCCAAAATGATCCATATCGCGACTATTTAAATTTGTAACACCTTATTTAATTGTAAGAACTCCTAGAAAATGTGCTGCCTTCTACTTACAAGGGTCCAAACGCTGCGAGGACGGTGCAGTTCTACAATAAATTGTAACTTGGCTGCAGACAAGCCCGCCGCTTCCATGAATTTTAAAACATCCTCTTCGTTTTGCTCCACCGCAGATAAAATAATGAGGTCTGTGTCTGTAAGATTCCTCGTGATTTTATTCATTATTGATTTGATTAAAAAAATTTGTTTTGCTGTCATCAGCTGTTCTCAAGACGCACGTCTGCAATGTAAACGCCTTTTCTGCTTCATTGCGTATATTCCGATATCGATAGCAGACGCACCCAGTGTAAAAAGGCTATAACTCTTCACTGGATTCGGTCGCATCCATCTTCGGGTGGCTGAGATTCAGGAGTGGTCGGATGAAGCTACGTGGCGGCATGTCTTTACAAAACAAAACCCAGCAGATATTGCGTCAAGAGGTTGTGACGTCAAGGAAATCGTCCAGTCAACCTGGTTTGAAGGACCCGCATTTATAAATGATGAAGAAGAAAACTGGCCTAATAACCCTCATTTCGAGCCTTCAGAAGATGATGAGCTGGAGAAGACGAAGAACGCGGTTTCGGATTTAGTAGATGTCATCGAGGGATTCTTGTCACACCTCAAGCTGCATCGAGTGTTTTGTTATATGTTCCGCTCTATAAGAAAATGTAAGAACCCGAGCATAACGTTTGAAAAAACGGTCTCACCGACCGAGTATGATGAAGCCTTTCGCAAAATTGTTGAAATCATCCAACATAACGAGTATCGTCGCGCAGGCCTTCAACGGGGCCGGTGTTTCGTCATGTCATCGTCTTAGTCAATGTTTTATGTTAAGATTATTTTTGAATTCTTTGAAGTCTAGTGTAAGTAGGTTAGGGCAAGGCGGGAGCGCAATAAAAGCTCGCTTTTTCGCTCAAGGCGAATTTGCCCCGCTTTGCACCGAATTATAATGCATTTTTAGAACATAGTCGTAAAATTGGAATTCGATCGAGCGCACACATAATTATTTTCGTCCCGCCTTTTAATAAACTTTAAACGCCACCAACAGTTCTTTTTTTCGGTATTTTTTGATTGGAAAAACTATTCTAATTTTTCACTCTCCTCGTGGGGGCGCCTTGAAACAGGTCCTGGTACGGTCAAGTCTCTGCCACGGATGCTGGCTAATTGTAGTCGGGCGGAGCGCAGAAAACTCTCGTAGTGAAATTACTCCAATCCATGGTTAAACAGGATATGCTAATGGATGCGTGGCCGAGAGGGAGCTCGGTGCTATATATGCGAACTCTGGATACCTGCCGACCTCCAATTTAAATTAGGCTTCCCGGGGCAAGCGGGCTATGCCTCGGGTGACTATAACCTTCCCGCCTACTCGTGGGAGCAAACATGTCAATTACAAATATTAAGCCAAATAACCTAAAGAAGGCGCTTTTAATAACATCATCACGACCGCCATCACGGGTGCACTGACGGACATGGGGACTGATTCCCGGACGGTGAGTCTCATCGATCTGATGCTTCGATGCAGGACCATTGAGGCCTCACTGGGGACGTCAACCTCCACCAGGTTTGTCAGCAGAGGTACGCCGCAGGGCGGAGTCCTCTTTCCCCTCCTATGGAACGTAGCAGTAAATGAACTGCTGCGAGAGATAGAGCGGGTGGATGTCACGTGGTGGCGTACGCTGATGATGTTGCCATAACATTCTCTGGGAAATTTCCACAGACGCTATGCGAGTGCATGACAAGCACTGTCATGAAACTGTCTCAATGGGCAGACAAATGCGGGCTAGGTGTTAATTCGTCCAAAACAGAACTAGTACTCTTCACCAGGAAGTACAAGATTCCGACACTGATTCCCCCAAAACTCTGTGGGGAAGCGCTAGTTTTTAGCAATAATGCCAAGTATCTTGGTCTGATCCTCGATAGGAAGCTCGATTGGAAACTGAGCATAGGGGATAGGGTAAGGTAGCCTTCTTACCTCTGGCCCTCTATACCTGCAGAAAAACCGTCGGGCTCAAATAGGGAATGACACCGTATATAGTCCGGTGGCTATATACAGCCATCATACGACCAATCCTAATGTACGGAGTGGTGGTGTGGTGGCCAGCACTGGACAAGAAAACTTGTCGTAGCAAACTCAGCCGCGTCCAACGCATGGCAGAGCTATGCATAAGGGGCGGGCTACGTTTGGACACTCGGGAATCTTGACGAGACTCCCGTAACTATCGGAGGGGACAGATCACTGTATACCGAGTGATCACCTATCGACGCCCTTCCAGGTATCAATCCCACTCAGGGGACTGGGAGAGGGGCGAACCTGGACCCGCAAATGCGATCCACAATTACACTGATGGCTCAAAGTTAGACGGCCGTGTGGGTGGTGGTGTCTACTGTAACGAGCTCAACATTAATCATTGTTTCAGACTCCCGGATCACTGTAGTGTTTTCCAAGCGGAGGTTGAAGCAATCAACGAGGCTATTTCTATCGTCTCCAAGCTTTCTTTAGACAGACACTAAGTGTGTGTCTTCTCATACAGCTAAGCAGCTCTCAGAGCACTTGGATCAATATCTTCGAACTCTACGACTGTTAACATATGCCGCAGGTCTCTTAATTAGAGCGCAGAGCATTTAGATCTTTCCTAATATGGGTCTCCGGACACAGAGATATCCACGGAAATGATGCTGCCGACGAACTAGCCAGGCAAGGTTTCTTGTCCATAATAACTTCTATAATAAAAACGAGGAGGAACGTTGTGAGTCGCTTTTGTTTCCGCGACTCAATTTTTATACCCATACTCAGTCAGTATACATACATGTGAGCTTATATTTGAGTAGAATTGTATCTGTTTACATTCTTTTAATACATCTGTCATCTAGAAAATGACATCTTCTACGCCAGAGGGCGCACTAAGCAGAGTTTGTGAGCAGAGTGCGAGCGAAAGGGAAATTGAGTAGCGCTGCAGCTGCAGCTGCAGGGGCTGTGGTTTGCACCTAAAAATGAATTTCTTCATTCTTTCTATAATAATGGTTCAGCAATCTGGTAGATATGGTCATTCTCTACAATACTGCGTTTTTCGTACCTTCAATATTTTGGATGCCACAGATTGTCATTTGTGAGGGCGAAAGAGAGCGGTTAGAAATTTTAAAATACACTTGCAAAAGTGTGATGTCACATGAGTCAGGAAACTTTTATAATCTCTGAGAACTAGGCGCTCATCGGGACTGACAGACGGACGGACAGACAGACATGGATTATTCGACTCGGATATTGATGCTGATTAAGAATATATAAATGCGGTCCGCAAAACTAATACATGTGAAAGGTTGTATTTAAATGTATGTTTATTAACGAGATATATAAGTAATGGATACAGCTTTGTTAGATATGTTTTTATAAGCGACAACTGATTTAAGTACGACTGATTTTATTTACGACTGACGAAAACGACGACTGACTACGGACTGGCGAGAGGCCTCTGAGCGGCGTCGGCTGACGTTCTCGCGATCTCCTCTTTACTCTCCCTGCTCTCAGCTCTCTCTGGGAGGTCTGCACTTGTGTGCGCGACCCAGCCTTCTTACATTCGGCCATCCTGACATTCGTCATCCGTCCCGGATGACAACAGCTCCTCGTTTTCCTCGACAAACTTCCAAAGCTTGAGATTGTCACAACTAGTCGCTGTCACGTTTGGTCCTTCGATGTCCGGGGCTGCTTTCTTCACGTCGTGTCGTCCGTTACGCTTGACGTTGACGATCTCATACGGACCAAGGTATGAACTCGCCAGCTTTCGACCAGCAACGAATTGGGTTCGCTTTACAGCGACGAGATCGCCCAATCTGTAGCCATGCTCGACACGTCGTTTCTTGTCAAAGTTGGCCTTGTAGGTCTTCTGTGCTTGCTGTATATTCTGCCTGGCTTCATTTCGCAACATTAG